AAAGGAAAGATGGGCCATCTTCTTCACTCTGTCTTTAGCTATTGATGGCTTCATCTGAGAGGGACTGCATCGCTGTTCTATTCTATCACATGCAAGTTGAGGGTCTTTGAAAGATTTTATGAGTCAGAGGGTTCTTCCATGACCTATAAAAAGTGATGTGATATAAGTCAGCACTATATAAATACTAGTAACTATAAAAAGTGATGTGATATAAGTCGCACAATATAAATACTAGTAACTATAAAAAGTGATGTGATATAAGTTGGCACAATATAAATACTAGTAACTATAAAAAGTGACTTGATATAAGTCGGCACGATAAAAATACTAGTAACTATAAAAAGTGACTTGATATAAGTCGGCACGATATAAACACTAGTAACTATAAAAAGGGAAGTGATATAAGTTGGCACGATATAAATACTAGTAACTATAAAAAGTGACGTGATATAAGTCGGCACGATATAAACACTAGTAACTATAAAAAGTGACTTGATATAAGTCGGCACGATATAAATACTAGTAACTATAAAAAATTACGTGATATAAGTCAGCACGATATAAATACTAGTAACTATAAAAAGTGACGTGATATAAGTCGGCACGATAAAAATACTAGTAACTATAAAAAGTGACTTGATATAAGTCGGCACGATATAAACACTAGTAACTATAAAAAGGGAAGTGATATAAGTTGGCACAATATAAACACTAGTAACTATAAAAAGTGGCGTGATATAAGTCGGCACGATATAAACACTAGTAACTATAAAAAGTGACTTGATATAAGTTGGCACGATAAAAATACTAGTAACTATAAAAAATGACTTGATATAAGTTGGCACGATATAAATACTAGTAACTATAAAAAGTGACGTGATATAAGTCGGCACGATATAAATACTAGTAACTATAAAAAATGACTTGATATAAGTCGCCACGATATAAATACTAGTAACTATAAAAAATGACTTGATATAAGTTGGCACGATATAAATACTAGTAACTATAAAAAGTGACGTGATGGGGGCGGAGCCTGACCGCCAAGCAGTGCGGACACGCAAAGCACGAGCTCCTGCCTGGCGGGCAGAAACCGGGGTGAAAGCGACGGCAAATCTACCAGAAAACCACCGAGGGTACACCACGCACGTCGGGGGTGTCCCACGGACCCGATAGAGACCACCCCGGAGCCTGTCGGAGCTCCGAGAGCGGGAAACCAAGTGCGGCCTACTGGGATTAGGGCCGGGGAGAGGCGGCCGCTCTCCCCGACACCGGAACCCTTCAGAGACCTCGCATCTCCTAACCTCCCCCTCCCCCCCCCCGGACCGGTGGGGGACATCCCGGTCCACGCTAGACACTCGGACTGGCACAGAGGGCAGCTGAACAGACCACACAACAGGCAAGAGCACCAAACTACCAGGACACAATCAAAATGGCCGCCCAGCGCGGACCTAACGAGCAGAGTACCTGCGCCCAGCCAGCCACATACTTCCTGGGGGCCTTAGACCAGATCTGTGCAAGCTTCTGGGCCACACTGCAGAGCCGCGGAATGACCCTCCAGCTGGCGGTGAAAACTGTGGCATCATGGGTCCGACCCGCAACGAGACGCCGCTACTACAGATGCCTGCCTCAAGCTCCCAGGACAGCCATACGGCGACGCAGATATCTGCAATCCCCACGGCGGGAAAAGGTACCACGATACTCCCACTCCCAAATACACATGAGCGGAATAGCCTACCAAGCCTCTCATGCAAGCACCCCACCTCACCTGAAACTCTGCATCAAGCGCAGCACGACCCAGCCCATCACTACCAGTGCTGTACACCAAGCAATTAAGCGGCGGCACATCCTACAGGTCACTACAAGAGCAGACTCCCACCACAGAAGCACCAAAGACAGGGCACATCCAGACACCAAGAGAGACTTCCCTCCTGTGGGTATAGGCTGAAGCACTCACATTCATGTCCAACGGCGGGCACACCGCTCCAGCACCCTGGGAACCCCTTCTCACCTACCGCTGTGTGGACAATAAGCACCAAGTATCTAGTGAGCGTCAATTGATTTAGCCATAGCACTGTAGCACTCTCAGCTCATTTAGTTAAATTTTTAATCTGTCTAGCATAGTTAGTCAGGGTGGAGGGTAATAGCTATCTGCTCTCAGCGGACTTTCTTTGTTCATTTCTTGTGTCTAGCGAATTCTTCTTTAAAGCAATATCTAAAGAAAATGTGGCGTTGACTGGCAAATAGAGTCAGGTTCAGTATCTGTATGCTTACCTAACCCTAGTCCACATTCCCTGACACACAAAGTTTAACTATTGATGTTTTACAATTACTCTAGCAAGAATCTACACTGTTGAAACACTAATCCTAATAACTTAAAAATGTGCCTGACTAACATATGTCACAACCTGTATCGCAAATGTTTTCTAAACTTATCCTGATGTCGCTGTTGTGGCGCACCAGAGCTGTATGTTACTATTATGCACAACAAAAATAAAGAATTAAAAAAAAGCGTGATATATAAGTTGGCACGATATAAACACTAGTAACTATAAAAAGTGGCATTGATATAAGTCGGCGATATAAATACTAGTAACTATAAAAAGTGACTTGATATAAGTCGCACGATATAAATACTAGTAACTATAAAAAGTGACGTGATATAAGTCGGCACAATAAAAATACTAGTATCTATAAAAAGTGACTTGATATAAGTCGGCACGATATAAATACTAGTAACTATAAAAAGGGAAGTGATATAAGTTGGCACGATATAAACACTAGTAACTATAAAAAGTGACTTGATATAAGTCGGCACGATATAAATACTAGTAACTATAAAAAGTGACTTGATATAAGTCGGCACAATATAAATACTAGTAACTATAAAAAGTGACGTGATATAAGTCAGCACAATATAAATACTAGTAACTATAAAAAGTGACGTGATATAAGTCAGCACGATATAAATACTAGTAACTATAAAAAGGGAAGTGATATAAGTTGGCACGATATAAACACTAGTAACTATAAAAAGTGACTTGATATAAGTCGGCACGATATAAATACTAGTAACTATAAAAAGTGACTTGATATAAGTCGGCACAATATAAATACTAGTAACTATAAAAAGTGACGTGATATAAGTCAGCACGATATAAATACTAGTAACTATAAAAAGTGACGTGATATAAGTCAGCACGATATAAATACTAGTAACTATAAAAAGGGAAGTGATATAAGTTGGCACGATATAAACACTAGTAACTATAAAAAGTGACTTGATATAAGTCGGCACGATATAAATACTAGTAACTATAAAAAGTGACTTGATATAAGTCGGCACAATATAAATACTAGTAACTATAAAAAGTGACGTGATATAAGTCAGCACAATATAAATACTAGTAACTATAAAAAGTGACGTGATATAAGTCAGCACGATATAAATACTAGTAACTATAAAAAGGGAAGTGATATAAGTTGGCACGATATAAACACTAGTAACTATAAAAAGTGACTTGATATAAGTCGGCACGATATAAATACTAGTAACTATAAAAAGTGACTTGATATAAGTCGGCACAATATAAAATACTAGTAACTATAAAAAGTGACGTGATATAAGTCAGCACGATATAAATACTAGTAACTATAAAAAGTGACTTGATATAAGTCGGCACGATATAAACACTAGTAACTATAAAAAGTGAAGTGATATAAGTTGGCACGATATAAACACTAGTAACTATAAAAAGTGGCGTGATATAAGTCGGCACGATATAAACACTAGTAACTATAAAAAGTGACTTGATATAAGTCGGCACGATATAAATACTAGTAACTATAAAAAATTACGTGATATAAGTCAGCACGATATAAATACTAGTAACTATAAAAAGTGACGTGATATAAGTCGGCACGATAAAAATACTAGTAACTATAAAAAGTGACTTGATATAAGTCGGCACGATATAAACACTAGTAACTATAAAAAGGGAAGTGATATAAGTTGGCACGATATAAACACTAGTAACTATAAAAAGTGACTTGATATAAGTCGGCACGATATAAATACTAGTAACTATAAAAAGTGACTTGATATAAGTCGGCACGATATAAATACTAGTAACTATAAAAAGTGACGTGATATAAGTCAGCACGATATAAATACTAGTAACTATAAAAAGTGACTTTATATAAGTCGGCACGATATAAACACTAGTAACTATAAAAAGTGACTTGATATAAGTCGGCACGATATAAATACTAGTAACTATAAAAAGTGACTTGATATAAGTCGGCACAATATAAACACTAGTAACTATAAAAAGGGAAGTGATATAAGTTGGCACGATATAAACACTAGTAACTATAAAAAGTGACGTGATATAAGTCGGCACGATATAAATACTAGTAACTATAAAAAGTGATGATATAAGATATAAGTAACTGGCACGATATAAACACTAGTAACTATAAAAAATGACACAATATAAGTCTGCATGATATAAACACTAGTAACTATAAAAAGTGACTTGATATAAGTTGGCACGATATAAACACTAGTAACTATAAAAAGTGACGTGATATAAGTCGGGACGATATAAACACTAGTAACTATAAAAAGTGACGTGATATAAGTCGGCACGATATAAATACTAGTAACTATAAAAAGTGACTTGATATAAGTCGGCACGATATAAACACTAGTAACTATAAAAAGTGGCGTGATATAAGTTGGCACGATATAAATACTAGTAACTATAAAAAGTGACTTGATATAAGTCGGCACGATATAAATACTAGTAACTATAAAAAGTGACGTGATATAAGTCGGCACGATATAAATACTAGTAACTATAAAAAGTGACGTGATATAAGTAGGCACGATATAAATACTAGTAACTATAAAAAGTGACTTGATATAAGTTGGCACGATATAAATACTAGTAACTATAAAAAGTGACTTGATATAAGTCGGCACGATATAAACACTAGTAACTATAAAAAGTTATGTGATATAAGTCGACACGATATAAATAATAACTATGATAAGCGATATAAGTTTGCACTGCATAATAATAGTAACTGGAGTAATATTTACAATGTGTAATAAATGTTCACCTTTTATCAGGTTTTCACAATACGATATAAACGTGGAATAGAGAAGATATGTAGTTTTATGTTCCACTGGATATAGCAAGAGTACATAATCACAGTCTTTCTCCCCCTGAACGTTGATCACTGAACATTCCTTTGTATTGCCTGATAAAGTCCTATAGAATGGCTTATTTATTAAGAGCTCATATATTTTATCAGTAACAAAGGACAAATAGAAAATTGTCTGTCAGCATATTTTTTAATCTCATGGACTACTTATATGCCATTTATATTTAACAATACATCAAATGAGCATTTCTATGTAGATGATACCATAGCCTTTACATAGAAACTAAGTGTCACACCTTCGATTTTAAAGGGACACTATAGTCACCAAAACAACGTTAGCTTAATGATGCAGTTTTTGTGTATAGATAATGCCTCTGAATTTTCACTGCTCAGTTCTCTGCCATTTAGGAGCCCCAACATGTTGATAACGGCTTATAGTGAAAAAGTTTGAGAAACTACTTCCAGCTGTGTAATAACTATCCAGAAAATATCAAATCTTTTGGTTTAAAACCAGTAAAATAGAGGTTTCTATTTATGTTCAATGAAACTATAATTGCAGTATTTCCTATGGTTTAATTATATCTTTACTATACATTTAAAATATATAACCTTATAAACATTGTATTGACTGTGATTTGATTGTGAAATGTATCTGTTGACCATAATATGTTGTCCGGTTTTTATACCTACCTGACTACGCCAGATTAAATTTTAAACAAAATTAATAAATAAATCGGTGCCAGGCATACCTCAGTTATTTGCGTTTATTCAAGCCAACATTGCATCTTAATGGAATGATTGCAGACTTTGTAACTGGACATTTACCAGATAATATTTTTTCTACTCTAGGATATTTGTATTCATATGCAAGACTGCTTTAAAGCAACGGTCTCTTTAAAAATAAAAAAAACTCTAACTGTCTATATGTTACTTTAATTTTTTTTTCTCGTTTTTAAGATATCTTACCAACACATCTGCTCTTATGTTTCCTGTCTCTGATGTTATTTTCCCAACATGCACTTGACCTTCTCCTCCCAATGGGATGGTAATTTTGTATTTTTTAACCTCTCAGTTATGTTTAGTAAATGGTAGAATAAAATGGAAACAGGAGGAGTTTTAGATTACTGTGCAAGTTTCACTATAAATTTAATCTATTTATAAAAATGTGTTACAGAATGCTGAACCACTTAAAGAAACAACAACACATAGGCTATTTTCCATAGTCTATTACTAAAGTATAATTCTTTCAATGACAAAGCAAATTTGGTATCAAAATACAAATGCACTAGACTTCAAGCTTAAAAAAATTAATTAATGTATAGACAGAATTTTTTCTTAACAATTATTTATGAAATTAAAATAATTAACAATAGGTTGTGCACCTTTTGAAGAAATCATAATTGTTGAATACTGAAAATTGCTCCGTTGCTTGGGATGAATAAAACAAACATAAATAAAAAAAGTAAAAACAAATATAATCCCTCAGCAAATATACAAGAAATTATACTAGTTGTCATGTTGTCACACTGAAATCTCTATGATGACAATCGTTTTTTGTTTAATGTGTATGATATTGTAAGGTACAAAT